TCCGTTTTGACCAGCCAGGATGGCTGGGCAGGAAGATTACTACAATTACTACCTTTAAGTAGCAGGGAAGTGTGCAAGCAAATACTTGGCACCCAGCCCTCCTCCTGCTCCAACTTACTGTTGCTCTGCTGCTGCTCCACCTTGTCACAGCCCTGAGCTCCTCCTGTCATCTCCCATGGTCCCTTGGCCTTTGGGGGCCAGTGCCCAGTGACAAGCACCTTGCTGCTGCTGTGTGACTTCATAGCTCAGGCTGGCACCTTTCCCTATAGCTGCAGCTTACAGATTTTTATCACCATGAGTACAAAGTCTTTCTGAGCTCTGAAACACTCAATAGTGAGAGCTAATGCCCTGACCTGATCTTCTTAAGCACCTTACTCCTTGTGCCTTGACACACTGTCACCCCACCCCCATTTTAAATAGTGCAGGGTTATGCAGTGAACAGTAACATACATCTCATTGCCTATACCCTCTGGAGAATACATAACACCGGGAAACACAAGGAATGCATATGGGGTTTGCCCTGCATACGCTCAAACCTCAGATAAAAAGTAGGGATAATCTTTTAGAGCTTGAAAGAATATGGAGTCATTGCTACTTACAGCAGAAAGGCTTGTCAGTCCTCCTGAGCATCTTTCAAAATACAAGAGCATCTATGCTGACCATGGGGGTTTCTCTCTTCCCAGCATTCACAGGAGACTGTTAGCCCACACTTTCTGCATTTGTTTTTGTAGAATCTTTGAAGAAGAGACAGTTTCTTCTTTTTTATCTCTCATATTTGGTCAAGTGTTGAAACGTATTTTTTTTCCCTGAAATCCATTTTTCCTTTTTGCATTTCTTGGAGCGAAGTGTTGGATGAGACGGGCCTTAAGACCCTGGGATAGGAAAGTTACAGTAGTATTACAGGACAGAGAAAGCTATTGAGTCCTGGATCACAACAATGCGTATTATCATTTGATAAGATGTCAAACATTTTATGTCAGGAGTAGCTGTAACATTTTTAGAGCAATAATTGGGGCATAGCAGGAAATGTTCAACTGCAGCTCTCGGGATTTGGCCCTACCTGTCTTCCCAAGTAGCTGGCCATAGCTCATGCTGCTTTAGTTCCACAGGCCTCACAACTGTTGTAGATTATTATTTTGGAAGCAGCATGCAATAAGGACTCTCAGGAAGAATCCAAATTGAACCTAACTGGTCTCAATTATGACCTGAATTTCAGCCAGACAAGCACATCATCATTTTGCAGCTACTCCACTGGTGACTGAGATTGACTTCACAAAACCTGGAGCTTTATTAGCCAAAGCAGCAAGGTCTGACTAACATCCCTCACCCTAATCATTTGCACAGGTCCAGCTCTAACAACAAAGCTCTCCTTCTGCTAGCTGGTGACCACAGACAAGTTACCAAATATTTGCCATCACATGCAACTGACACTGAGGGCAGTGAAACAACATGCCCTGAGCTAACTTACAGAATGATGGGGGAAATCCTTTCCTTTTGATACAAAGGTCTTCTCTTCTGATCAGACAATGTGGAGACGTGCCTCCAGTCATCCAAAGAAAAGAAAGCAAGAAGTCTGATTTATGCACAGATCTGGATTGCTTCCTGTATGCCTGTGATTCTCAGGTAATATACATTTAAATATCTTATACCTCTCTTGAGGAAAGTCAGGATGTTATCCTTCCTTCAGAGAAGTTAAAGAAATGCCAGCACTTGATGTTTTTTAGCCTGCAGAAAATAATTGTGACATCTTTTTTAAAGTCAATGCAGTGTCCCTTTTCATAAGGCAGAGAAAAACTCTAAATAAATCTCCATCAGGGATGTCTTGTACATCCCTGAAATCCCAACTCTGGCAGTGGCATCAGCCAGCACCCCTGTGGTAGCTCTGAGCTGGCAAAAACAGTCATCTACACTGTTGCAATTTGTTCTATATCTTTCTTTCATCTCAGCCACACCTGAGATATAATGAAAGAGCTATGTCTAGCCCATACTTATATTCTCTTTCATCACCACCAGCAAACTGCCCTGCAAGGATATGTAGCTCTCCTGGTGATGCCAAGTCTCGCTATATCTCCAGCTGCTGCTGAAAATGAAAAGCTTACATAGGCTGTGACACTGGCAGAACACAACCCCTGCTGCCGTGCTGTGTGGTCGCAGAAGGCATTTGTCTCCATTTCTCCTGGACTCTCCACAGTGCTGGCCCCAGAAGCAGATGGGAGAGCCACAAAGGACAACTCCGACACCCACAGCCTACTACACCTATGCACCACCCCACGCTCCACCAAAATGCATCAATGCACATGCTGCTGTGGCCCCTCAACAGCAGCTCACTCTGCCAAGGACATGGGACAGCCCCAACAGGGCACCCTGTCACTTGTCACAGACAAGGGACACCTGATTGCACGTGGCAGCAGCAAACATCTCGTAAATTGAATATGCCTACTGAACTGAACTGAATATGCCTCTGCACATGGACTGCTTAAGTGGTCCGCAACCAGGGACCAGAATCAACTGGATATTAGTGCTCTGAGAACTAATGTATTTTAAACATAAGCTATTATGAAGTTTATCTGCAGTACCGCAGTACCGCTGCTAGAATACAACAGTTTGTAAACTTTCTTCTTTTGAATCTACAATATAACAGGAGAATGAGCATTTTAAGTATGACTTTTAATACATGCTGTTATTATGTAATATATCACAAACCCTTCAATTTGCCTTCAATTTGGTGTTAAATGGGTTAGAAAAATAGTTTCCAAACTGGTTGCAATTCTATCTGCACTGCTCTGTCGTTGACCACGCAGGAAGACTGTTAGAGTGAAACAAAGTGGCAAGGATTACAGGGGTTTGCTGCAGCTGCTTCTTTTTAAGGAGCTGTCTTGAAAGTATCATTTACAGTCCTAAAACACTTGCTTTACATACTGTGAATGACTATGAACCTCCAATTTTCTTTTTGTTTTCCTAAGAGCAATATTCTGAATTTGAACAGCATTTCAACTGACAAATTAAGACATATACATTTAACAATAAATTAACATTTCTGTAATCATTTGAGGTAGGATGTCATTTTCAAAAATTTGGTAGTCTGTACTTTCTTAAAGATGGACATTTACAATTGAAGACCATTTATAAAAATATCTTCTGAGACCCATCAGGTAGCACCTAATCCAACCTCAAAAGCAGTGGGGGTCAGAGGTAGGTTTGGGAACTCTAGCCCTTCATCGTGCCACTAGCTTTTACCCTCGCACCAGGTACCTGTGAGCTCTGCTTCTCTGGCCACCTCTGCACACCCTGAGCCCCTCCACTGACTGTCCCATTCCCTTCCCCACGTCACTGCCACGTTTACAAGGCCTACCTCCACGCAGGCTGGGCTGGGATGTTGCTGCCACATCCCTTCTTCTCTCAGGACACCTCACAGGATGTGTAGGAGATATTCTCAGCTTCCGCCCCCCACCTCAGCCATAATCTCAAGGCAGAAACAGCTGCAGCAGCCAAACCCCATGGCAGGATTTGGCCAGGACAGAGCACTGGTGTGACCAGCACTGCTGTCTGCATGGCCACCTCCCACCTAGGGGCTAAACACCGGGCCTGACAACAGGTTCATGCCAGATCTCTTGTTACTCAAAAGACCACTTCCCTTCCACAACCTCCAGCCCAACACATTTTATTGCCAATAGCAACAAAGCAGTATCTGTTCACACAAAATACAGGTACTCCTAAATTGCAAAAAAACCTCCCAACCCCTCAGATCTCAGAGTAATTAGTATGTAGACATGGAAATTCTTAATAACATGTTAACTATTGTTGGAAAGCTAATTTGTGGGGGTTCTCAAGCTCCATGTCAGCCCTGTGTATCTGCTGGTTGGTATTGTTTAAAAGACAAAAAAAGTTTAAAGCCTTTAAAGCACATCAGCCAATTTTTATTCAATAAATCATCTAGAAGTAGAGCCAAACTGAAAAACTTCTGTCGTCTTATGCACCATGGAAACAAGAAACATGTCAATCTGCAATTACCTATTCTACATTCATTTGAGATCAATTTTTGCTGGGGGAGTATAGCCAAGAGGATCAGATCTACAACCTGTGTTTGTCCATGTGAGATGGACAAAATTTATTTTTTGTTTCACTCTCAAATAAGTATAAATATTAAAACGTAAATCAGATTGATGCCAGGGTGCACCTTAAACTGCATTACAGTCTAATAAAGGCTATAAACTTTTATTCTCATGTAATTTCCTACAGCAATGTCAACAAGAGAATATAAAAATATTCATAGTGTTCATCTGTAAATTCCACTGTGATAAAACTGCACACGGATTTCCTAAGTGATCTCATATATTCAGATTTTCTTCCAGAGCTGAAATATTGCTTGCTTGAGCACTATGAAAGCCACTTATTTTTAACATCTCATACTAATTTTGTATATTTTCCCATAAATGAAACACTGTCGCTTTTTAAATTGAGATAATCTGTCTGATAGACTCCTCTAGCCTGAAGGTTTATTGTGTTTAATTTATAGCTTTTGTACCTTTCAAATGCTGATGCTCATTTGTGAAACTCTCAAAAACATAATTTAAAATCCTCAATATAGCAAGACCCTTAAATGTACTCATGTGCTTAAGTGTCATGTGCATCATGTTATCCCATTCAGCAGGATTCCCCAAAGCCTTACAAGGCTTAAGTGCTTTTCTGTGTCAGATTTGAAACTCTCATGTTAATTAAGTGTGCTCCAAGCAGAATTAATGGTTACGACTGCCTACAGTGCTCATGGCAGCTCCTAGGCTCTCTAAGCTTTGACTTGAAACTTTATTAAAACAGAACAAGCAGTGATAGCACATTTTCAGTATCTCTATCAGTATCAAAAGGCAGGCAGAGCCAGGTGACATGGAAAGGGAAGGTTTAGATGTTAATTCCAGAAGATTCAGCATGGCAGGTGATGTAGTGGCAACTCTGCTTCTTTGCAAGAAGGTAGTAGTTGAATGGGATATGTAGCTAGCTCTTACCAATTGTTATCTCCAGTAAACTCCTGATTTCATCAGCATGCCAGGCAGCCAACCTGGGCAGGTAAAGAGCAGACATATAGGTATGACTGAACACACCGTTACTGTATTTACATAATAAAATTGGGGTGAAAACTCTTTCCCATTTCCACTTATAACATCCACTTGACTGTGTGTCTTCACATGTGGTAGGAAGAGGTTTTGTGAGGCCCAATTACATGTGGCATCTGTAACTCAAACTACCCAGAACAACTACTAATCATTTACCAGAGAAAACCATCACTGCAGAAGGTTATTCTCCATAAGTCTTCACATCCAAATAGAGTAACTTTCTGAAGGACATCTGCTATCCAGAACTAGTTATTTGGTTTCATATGGGCATAAGTGGATGAAACAGGAACTCAGATTATTTAATATACTCCCTTTTGGATTAAAATCCATGACTTTTTAGTTGCATTTTAAATATGCACTATCTGGCACAAAGAATATGGTCTTATCAAAAACTCTAATACCTATCAATTACATAACATTTCCATAATGATACAGGAACACTGAGTATTCTCTCTTTTATGTACTTTCTTAATTCCCATATGGAAAAAAACATGTCTTCTGTCTAGTTCTACTTGAGGCACTACCAGTCTGGCATTTTGCTTTCAGGTTCTGGTAACATCAGTATTGAGATCAAAGGTATTAAAACTTAGAAAATCTGACACGTTGTGTCAAATTACAAAGACAGTATCTGAGAGTAAATGGAAGAACAGACAGACTGAATTAAGTAGCAGAAAAAGGGAAAGGAACAGAATGAAAGAAGGGAAGATAGGGACATATGTACAAAAATAAAAGATTAAGCAAATAGTCTAGCATGATCAGATGAGTATGAAAAAAAAAATTAAATATAGTTGAAAGCACAAATGTAGGGATATAAATTCATACATAAAACACATAGCTACAGATAGTATGATCCCATTAACACTTAACACACATACAAGATTTTATTCACAACATTTGCTTAAGTTAGAGGGTAATACTCATGTGAATAACATGTTCAATAGGTAGAAGGATTTGGCCTTTCACCATTTTTCCTTGTGTACATCATGTACATCTGTAAAACATTTAAGTAGGCATTTCGACTTTGAAGAAGACAGAATTTGGAAGATAATAGGACCTAAGGGAAACCCTTCCATGAAAGCTGCTGGAACTGCAGTTCTACAAAGAACCGAGAGGAATACTCTAAGGACTACTTATTTGACAATGCAACTAATGTTATTAGTTTGAAGCATAATAAAGTAAAAGCTGCAGTTTGCACAGATGTGGAATACTTGTCAGAAGAAAGCATAATCAATGTGTGAATCCAGAGTCGGGGAATCCTAATTAACCCTCTAACTGCTCTCAGCAAGAAGGCTAATAGCAAGTCTGAAATGATGTGACTTATTCTTAGGGGATTGCTTCTGCTATGAGACTTTTAGCTTACCTCACCTGTCTTTAGAATAATGAGGCACCTTTATAGGGCAATAAGCAACTGGTTTGCCTAACAGCAGACACTGTTGTGATTCTCATGAGTGACTTTTCCTTGTGATACAAGTTATTTTCTTCATTCGATGGAAAAGAAACTAAATGTCACTTTCCATGAACCATCGGCAGGGCCAGGGATGGAGTTTACGGATCAAGGACATTTAGGATGACAGTACAATTTTCCTCTAGAAGATGACATCTGATACTCTTCTGGGAATAGTGTTTTACAGGATCTAAAAAAACATGAAGTGTAAAAAAACCCAAGAGATCTGTCTTTAGTAATACAATAATTAAACTTCTTACAAAGTATTCTCACTTTGAAGCTACAAAAAAGGCATTTAAATTCATTATTTGAGCAGTCAAAAACCCATGACCTTTCTTCTCCAAGAGTTTCTGGCTGTGGATTACCAAAATGGTGCAAAATCTCAGTACTACACATATGGGTGCCCAAAACATGGGGCTAGAACTTCCCAATACTACTGTTACCCTGCCAGAACACCACATTCTCTCTTCTCAGACGGTCTGGCAGACTTCTAGGCTGCTATCCTACATCTCTATTCACCTCTGCCAGCACTGCACTTCAGCTTCAGTTGCAACACTCGAAAGATGCAAAACATATGCTTTCACAAGGCTAAACAAAAAGGACAACCAGTATTAAAAACAACCACTTTTAGAACAGTCTTCAATGAAGCTAAATCAGCCTTATTTTTTAATGTCTGCAAGGTATCTATGTGTCAAAGTGCAGCTAGAAATACTTCTACCAAAATCAAATTACTCATCTAGCACTATCCACAGCAACTATTTATATTGGACTTCCCTGTGGAATATATTATTTGTTTCCTAAATAATATGAAATAATCCATTGTTTAAATTATTTCAAATACAATGCTCAGAATTTGCAAACTACTGCAACACACCAAGTTTACTTACAGAAGGGATCAATTTCAGAAGTCACAACACTGTGAGCTTTGCAGAAAATACGTTTTCCTTGAAATGGTACTTGAATATCCTTGAAGAAGGAATTACCTTTAGCCTACAAAATATAATTTCTGGCAAGACTCCCTAAAGTAGAACATGCTTGCCTCTAAAAATAAGCCACAGTGCTATCAGCAGCACAGATTACTTTTTTTCTGGCAGAGAGAGTCTGATGCATCCAGAAATGACTGCAAAAGGAGACGACCAAGTGACTCCAGCAGTGGGTTCAGCCGCTCCGTTGAGTGGCAGCAACATTCAAGGCTGCCAGTGCTGGTGGCCACTGCCCACGGGTGGCATTGGCCACAGGTGACACTGGCCATGGGCAGCTGGTGGCATCCCCTGTGGCAAGGAGTGCTGGGGAGCAGCTCCTTGCCCTGAGGTGGAGGCACTGCTGTGACCACCCTGAATGGGACAGGGGGCAGGAGGTGTATTTCTCTGTGCGTGTGTAAATATGCACGTGTGCGTGCTTTCATATCCATGTACATATGTGCATACATGCACACAGATATATGCAAATATATATATACATACACAAACATATATATATATACATATATAGAATCACAGAACCACAGAATCACAGAATATGCTGAGTTGGGAGGGACCCATCAGGATCATTGGGTCCAACTCTTGGCCCTGCGCAGGACACCCCAAGAATCTCACCGTGTGAATGAGAGCACTGTCCAAATGCTTCTTGAACTCTGTCGGGCTTGGTGCTGCGACCACTTCCCTGGGGAGCCTGTTCCAGTGCCCAACCACCCTCTGGGTGAAGCACCTTTTCCTCATACCTAACCTCAGCCCCCCCTGGCACAGCTTCAGGCCGTATCCTCGAGTCCTGTCACTGGTCGCGACAATGAAGAGACCAGTGCTTGCCCCCCTGCTTCCCCTCGTGAAGATGTTGAAGACTTCAATGTACACACTCCTATATATATGTGTCCGTGTGTGTGTGTGTGTGTGTATCTGTGCCTGTGTCGCTCAGTGCGTGTCCCTGTGCCACCCTTGCACCAACCCCGGCCAGGGCTGACCCCGCAGCCGCCTCCTATCCCGCCGCCGGAGGCCCTAGGCGGGCAGGCCTCTCTCGGTACCGCCCGGCGGCGGCCCGTCCCCCGCGCTGCCCGCCTGCACGCTCTGCCGGGCGGGAGGCCCTGGGTTGGCCCGGCCCGGCCAGGCCCCGGCCCAGCCTTACCCTCGGCGCTCTCCTTCTCCGCCATGGCAGCCGCCGGCGCTGTCGCCATAGCGACGCGGGCCTGGCCGGGCCCGGGCGGGCCCTCTCCTGCACACACCAGCGGGGCGTAGGGCGTCGCTCCCCGCTGTGCTAAAGAGATGGAGAACGTGCCCGAACCTCATGTCTGACCCCCACTGCACCCCACTGCCCTTCCAGGCAGGAATCAAACCTGCCGCTTAAATCTGACACTTCAGAGGACTACATTTCTCTTAAAGAGTTTTCCCAGCAATTGCAGAGATTTCCGTGTATCTCAGCTTTAGAAAGTGAAAGAACATTTTATTCTAAATACCATCGCACCGAAACAGCTAAAATATTCTGTCTTAGTGATATTAAATAAAACTGTGTAGTTTAAATTTAGCTGTGTGTTTTAGCAGACAGGGTTGCGATGCCTGGTTCTTCTGACTCAAAAACAACTGTGAAAATAGAAAAAATATAAATATTAATATTTTGGCAAGATAAAATTATATATTCCTAGAAAATAAACATTTATGAAATTCCTAGGACTAAAACCTCGTCCTCACCACAGCAGGTGCTTGTTTGTCAGATATTAAATTTTTGCAAAGCCCGTGTGGACGACTGCTCCTCACACATTCATTTCCACCTCTCAGTTACAATGTTCCCCGTATTCATGGAAGCCTGAAATTTCAAAAAACACATTGAACTTAGAGAGGTCTTCTCTGCTTTAAAAAACAACCCTTTTTTAAAACATTTTAGCATTTGTTATTTGCCTTTCAGCCACTTTTTTTTTGCATTTTTATTGAATGTGGCTCTGAATAAAGATGGTATAATAGATACCCAAGAGAATACATCTTTACTCTGTTGGGAAAACAGCTGATTATGCTCTCTAACAAAGCTGATCTCTCAGAAAGGTTATCTACTGACTTGAGCAGTTTACTAAAGTAACTAAATATTTCAAATTATGTTTGACTACAGGAGGAGCACAGATTTGTTTCCTCTCAAATTGGTAACAGAAATTTTTGTGAGAACAGCATGGCAGCGAAATTTAGAGGATGCAGTGGCAGCAGAATGAAAGACTCTTATCTTTCAGTCTCACAGGGGTCCCATTTCTTATTCCCTCAACCCCTCCACACAGAAAACTTTTTTCTTTCCTGGTTGTAGGCATGTGGTGGTGGATCAATCACATGTTTGAAACGGAAGTAAAGTGTGAAATACATTGTTTTGGCAAGGATGGAGTTTTCTTATCTCTTCCCTCTCCTACCCCAAATGCGGAATTTCATGTTCTTGAATATTGTACCCAGCGTTACATTTCTTATGTAATTTTCCGGATCACCTAATTAATCACAGCACACGTACAGCTCTTCTACTAATGCTACACTGATTCAAGTGTTTACTACATATCCCTAAACAAAGCTTTAAAAAATCCTGTTCTAGTTATTCAGGTTTTCATGATAAATCTGTGCCCAGAATATGAACAGCTTTCAGCTTTAAAATACATACAAATATTGCTTATTGTGCAAATTTATTGAGATTATTGTGTGTTTATAGTAGCCTTTGAATTGAAGTGAGTCACTGCAAATGTGACGTGAAAAGGCAGGAACTCCACTCAGGCATCCACCTATAATATCTTCCCAGCAATTTCATCAGGGCTTGCACTTGGCTTTCCTCACTATTCCTTTGTTTCCTCCAGGAGAGATGGTAATGAAAGCAGTGGGCAAAAGCTGATGAAGAAAGGGAAAATGGTGAAATACGCTACAGAGATGACACATCATTTACACCACAACATCTATGTCCCGTTGCAGCAGCCAACTCCAGCCCTCGTGAGCTGCTACTATAGCTCCTTGGGGAGAGTGTCGTTTTGAGTGTATAAAGGTATTGCTCAAATCCTGGATGTTTGTACTTGTTAAGTTAGGTGAAGAACCTTCAGTGACTCAGAGCTCATATTAATTTCAGCTAACAGTATTTTGAGCTGTCCTGTCTGTGTTGTTGAGATTCCACTCAGGACAATTACTGTAAATCAAAGTGCTTCCTTTGCATTGTCTGCTCCAGCGTGGAGTTTCCTTTTGCTTCCAGTAGCTTGCAGCCAAGTGTCAGCACCTGTTTCTCCTTCTTCTCCCAACTCCTGACACACAGGGCTCTGATATCTCGGCTGTCTTCAGGAGCAGAACAAAATATGGAATGAGAAAGCACTTCAAAACAAGAACTCACTGCTTTAAAATTTCCTGGCAACATGTCTTGAAAAAATCTATGTAGCAAAAAAGTGTTAACAATTATAATGCAGATCAAATATTGGACCTGAACCACATGGCTGTTTCCCTTCTAACTTAATGCACAGATATCTCAAACCAAGGGTATGAGTGGGCTGAAACAACTAATCACATTTTGGCACAGACAAGTACAAAAGGAAACCCAGAACTACTAATTCAACAGCTTGAAATATCAGCTGCTGCATTCAAGATCTTTACAGAGCTTCTCTGAAGAGAACATACCCTTTTAAAATTGTAACTTTTCATTTAAAAAATGTCAGAAAATATCTCAGGGAAAATATGGAAGGATCCAGCATTACTGATACAAAGCCTGAATCCACTGAAGTCTGATAGACATAAGGTACCCTTACTTTTGAACCTAATTTAATCACATACATTCCTGTAAGCTATCAGGGTCCTATCACACATTTTGCATATTTTCCATGCATATGTTCAGAAATGTTATTCAGCAATAAAAACCAGCTCTAAAATGGGAGAAGTGACGTAAAAGACAAAGCAGTTCAAGGAGGTGTAGTAACATCCTATAAAACAGTGTCCCCCCATGGCTTCAGGGCTGCAGCATTTGTACACATCTTTGCACCAAATACTTGCTGAAGACCCTCACTGTAGGACTCCCTCTCTGGGTCCTTGGGGACCATGTAACTGAAGGCACAAAGAAGCATATTCATTTGCTCTTCTCAGAGAAAGCAGGTGGATAACTGTAATTCTGTGACAGGACTCTACCTGTAACTCCTCCGCAGCTAAACGGGTATAGCTGTACCACTCAGCAGGCATTTCCATGTCACGGTACCCTTTCTAACCAATGTGACATGAATGGCCCAAGTGCATTTGGCACCTTCATTCCACTCTTTCTCTGGGATTAGCAGCTGATTTGTGTCACTCAGAAACAGACTCTTCAAAACAGAGTATTATCTAAACATCTGTTCGCCCAAATGATACACATCAACCAGATAAAAATGAGAAAAAGACTCCATTATTCCTTGCCTATGCTGTATCTTTCCCTACAGAATTTAGGTAAATTACACTGAGAGCAGCTACCTCATTCCTTGATGTGTGGGAGGGAAGACAGCTTCTCCTCTGACTTGTTCTCTTTGTAACAGTAGGCTTTTATCCTATGTTTGGACCAGATGAAGAGAAGCCTAACAGAGTGGGTAGAGACAGACATATAGGCATGCCCACCATTATCTGCTCTACCACTGAGCTCCTCTGGGCTGCTGGTATGTTTATATTAACCTTATCTGCCAAAACTTTGGGTTCTTTGTAAAAAATAAGTTTTCCTGTTCTCACCTACAGAATAGCAAAAAGCACATAAATTGGCAAGGGAGTTCCTTTACTTTTTCTATAGGTCATAAACCTAGAAGCAAAAAATCTGATCTCTTAAATAAAATGTCAGCATATGATTCCCTGACACATATGGAATTCACCAATGCTGAAAGGGGAAGATCCAAGTCTTGCTCTTCCTTCCCTATTGCTGGCTGCACAACCTCCTTCTACCTTGTGCTGGTTCTGCCACTCACTGAGAGCAGATATGAGTCACTAAAGTACTAAAAAAACAATCCCTCAAAAAGTGAATAGTGTTCTGCCATATTAAGAAATTCAGAAAAGGGTTTGACAAGCATCTCAATCAGTACATCCAGGAAGTTGGACCATGCAATTAGAAGAGAGGGAGAAATAGAGAGGAAGGCAAGAAGGGTGAGATATTCTTTTACAGGTAGAAGGCTCAGTGATTGGCTAAGTCCATAAGTAAAACACAGAAGAAAGAAAGGGGAAAAATCAGGTTTGAAGTCTGCTTATAATAGCAGCGTCTCAAACCCTTCTCCATGGGATTGCTTTGGAACTGTCCTGGTAAATATCTATCATGTACAGCTATGGATCTTTTGGATCTTTTGCTCCTCCTGTCCAGCTTCAACAAAGCTACACTTGAGGAAAAGTGACTGAACATACATTAAAAATGAGTTACTAGAAAAAAAAAGCATTTTTTACTGCAGCGATATTCTTCAATGTCAAGGAGTTACTGGCAGTGCTTGGCCTCTGGGACTACGCCTAAAGAGCTGCAGCAGAAAAAAGCTCTCTCTTTTATATGTAAGTGTCAGGATGCTGTTCCCCATCCCACCCAGGCACAAAAATGGCCCTAGGGATCCATATATTTTAACCTTCAGACTTTATTACCATTAATTATATCTAGAAGTGAAGCCAGGATCCCTGAGAACACGGTAGCAGGAACAAAACACAATCATCCATCTGCCTAGCAACATGGGTTGCCATGAGTACTTCTCCCCATGCTCCACAGGCAGCAGGGGCTCACCACTGAGCACCGAGCCAAGTTCACGGGCCCCGTACTGGTAAAGAAAGCCTGCTTCCTCAAATGAAGACCTTGAATTCTATATCCAAGATGCCTGTGTTCCTCTGGAGCCTAGAAGGCATCAGCCAGTAGCCTGATATTCAGGAATGAGGGACTTTTGGAGTACCGAGACAAGGTCAGTGGAATCCCTCTTTCAAGAGACAAAAGCAGTGATGTTGGCAACATCAATGAAAACTCCATTCTTGCCTTCTCTGTTTCTTTTGAAAAAGTTCTTTGCATGTTTCAATACCATGCCAAAGAAAATCCCAAATAACATACTCTCAAATGACTGAAGGACTTAGGAAGAAAAGAAGAAAAACCCGAGTGGTACTGAACACATGGAAATACTCTAAAATGTCCCTAGCTTGGGAAATCCTTGAATCACAAACCATTTGTAGGAGGCTGAGAGACAGAGTATTGAAGATACTCATTTGCCTGATTCTCCACTGAGCACCTTCTTTAGGCACCACTAGAAGAAAGGATTCACAAAGAGATGAACATTTGACATGTCCCAGAAGGCTAATCTTGGTATTCTTAAAAAAGCAAAAGATTATTTGATAATTGTTTAATATTTAAGCGAGGCCCTCTA